ACACGGACACACGGACACGGGGACACACACGGATACACGGACACACGGACACGGGGACACACACGGATACACGGACACACGGACACGGGGACACACGGACACACGGACACGGGGACGCACATGGACACACGGATACATGGACACACGGACACACGGACACACGGACACGGGGACGCACACGGACACACGGACACGGGGACACACGGACACATAGATACACGGACACAGGGACACACGGACACTCGGACACATGGATACACGGACACAGGGACACTCGGACACGGGGATACATGGATACACGGACACTCGGACACATGGGGACACTCGGACACTCAGACACATGGACACATGGACACTCAGACATATGGACACTCGGACACATGGACACATGGACACTCAGACATATGGACACTCGGACACATGGACACATGGACACTCAGACATATGGACACTCGGACACATGGACACATGGACACTCAGACATATGGACACTCGGACACATGGACACATGGACACTCAGACATATGGACACTCGGACACATGGACACATGGACACTCAGACATATGGACACTCGGACACATGGACACATGGACACTCAGACATATGGACACTCGGACACATGGACACATGGACGCACTGACACTTGGACACACGGACACATGGACACGGGGACACATGGATGCATGGATACATGGACACTCGGACACTCGGACACATGGGGACACCCGGACTCTCGGACACATGGGGACACCCAGACACTCGGACACGGGGACACATGGACACACAGAAACACAGACACTCAGACACATGGACACTCAGACACGCGGACACATGGACACTCAGACACATGGACACATGAACATGCAGAAACATGGACACACAGACACTCAGACACACAGAAACATGGACATATGGATGCGCGGAGACACAGACACATGGACACTCAGACATATGGACACATGGACACTCAGACGTATGGACACTCGGACACATGGACACACGATGGACACACGGACACACGAACACATGTACACTCGGACACTCAGACACACAGGCACACAGACAGACATATGGACACAGACCAGACAACACAAGTCCGGCACCCTGGGAGGCACCTGCACATCCTTGGGGCTCTCAGCAGTGTGTGGGTGTCACTCCTGCACGCACAGGAGGATGATGCTGTCGCACTGGGGACATTTGCTGGCACATGGCAGGATGACTGCAGTGTCCCCGAGCCCCTCTGTGCCACCATACATACTGGTGCAGTGTGTTTAGAATCATTGAATCATCTCAGACACACAGAAACATGGACATATGGATGCGCGGAGACACAGACACATGGACACTCGGACACACAGACACATGAACGCAGACACATGGACATGGAGAAACACAGACACTCAGACAACTTGGACACATGGACATGCAGACACATGGACACATGGACACAGACACATGGACACATGGACACAGACACATGAGCACACAGGCACAGACATCTCAGACACATGGACACACAGATACATGGACACACGGACACACGAACACATGTACACTCGGACACTCAGACACACAGGCACACAGACAGACATATGGACACAGACACATGGACACAAGTCCGGCACCCTGGGAGGCACCTGCACATCCTTGGGGCTCTCAGCAGTGTGTGGGTGTCACTCCTGCACGCACAGGAGGATGATGCTGTCGCACTGGGGACATTTGCTGGCACATGGCAGGATGACTGCAGTGTCCCCGAGCCCCTCTGTGCCACCATACATACTGGTGCAGTGTGTTTAGAATCATAGAATCATAGGAGCATCAAGGTTGGAAGAGACTGTTAAGACCACCAAGTCCAACTGTCCAGCCAGCACTACCCACTGTAACCCCTAAGCCATATCACCCAGATCCAGAAACCTGTTAAATACCTCTGGGGATGGTGATTCTACCACCTCCCTGAGCAACTATTCCAATGCCTGACCACCCTAAAAGTGGTGAGCAAAGTGGTCCAGGTTTGTCACGGTCTCTGTGGCACAGTGAAAGAGGCAGAATGGTGTCCAGAGGGCTTGGGCATTGCAGGGCTCTGCCACTGAGTGAAACACTCCTGCTCCCCAGCAGGACCTGCTGATCCAAATTCCCACCTGGATTCAGGGACTGTGGCTGCCCTTCCTGTGCAGGCTCAGTGCCTGCACAACCACCCTGCCATGGGCTGGTAGCACCATCCATGTGATGAGGAAAATGGGAACCTGGCGAAGCAGTGGTGAAATGATCTGTCACCAAAATCTGACACACCTGGGAGCCACCATGCAGCTGTTGGCATCCTGGTATGTCCATCCATCCATCCATCATCCCTACAGCCTGAGAATGCGGGTGGAGTGTTTGGTTCTGTGTCACAGGAACTGTGGCATTAGGATTTAAAAGTTTAAAGGGATAATGACTTAAACATGGCAGTTATTGCTGGTCCATCTCAGCCTCCTCTGACTGGTAAAGATTAGTGGCATACTGGCTCCCTGCTCAGCTCCTGTAGCCCTCCCAGGGTAAGAAAGCTCTTTGTGGCACACCCACACCACCAGGGTCCCACAACAGTAAGTGCAGCATGTTTTCTGCAGATTTACAGCTTTCTACATCCACATCATTGTTTCTTCAGTGTCAATAAAAGCAGAAGGAGATGGACAGCAGGAGATGTTGAGCCAAAGCCACAACACAGATTTGCTGTCATGGTTCAGACAATGGGGGTGCCCACACATCCAACCCTTGAGAACTGGAAAGAGCTCCAGGCCCCTGGATCAAAACATTTCACTTCAGCCGTGTTAAGTTAGTTCTCCAGTTAGTTCTCTTAAGTTAGTTAAGTTCCTGCTCTGGTGGTGGAGTGGCCTCAGAGGAGGGACAGCCCCCCTCACTCTGAGCCCCCCGGGCTGCTCGCATAGGCCACGCGGCTGGGAAGGTACAAATGCCCTGAAGCAGGAATTTTTATTTCATTTTTAATGACTTGCATGAATGCTATTCAAGCAGAGTTGTCGCAGTGCCTGGTGAACACCTGCCAGGGCAGCAGTGAGCAGGATGTCAGGCAGAGCCTGCTGCCTCTCGGTGTTCAGGGAAAAGCCTCTGGAAGAGAGAACCAGGGAGCAGCCCCATCTCTTTCTGTCTGCTTACAAGTAGAGTCAGAGCTGTCCCCTTGGGAATGCAGGACCAGTCTCACTAGAGGCAAGAGATGACTCATATAGACACTGGGGATAGAGTGATACTGAATTTCTGGACATTTTTAGACTTTAAATACAAAGGGCCAGATCTGATTTCTAGCAAGGAGGCCTGCTGACTTAGCAGCAACATATACACCTACAGCACTGCACCAGAAAACTTTCAAGACCCTCAGTCTGAGTTCCCAGGCTGTGGGACCAACCCACCGTGCCTGGATATTGCTGCTGCTAAGGCAGTACCCATGGTGTACCTGAGATACTGTATACTCCTAGCAGGCCCAGAAGCATCAAGAAAAAAAATGGGAAACAAATCTGGGGCTGTGTGATGAGTGATTTTCCCCCAGGAATAATACTTGATATCACATCTCATACCCTTTCCCACCCACATACTGGAGAACTCACAGGAACAGCAGAGCTTCACATCTGCACTTCAGGGTTTCTTTTCTTCACCCATTAGCATTGACTCAGTCAGTTATGCTGAAAAAGTCAGAACAAGAGAAAAAAAAAGGGGGAAGAGCAACAGAGGGAATGACAGCAAGGAGTAACTCTGAGCTGGCAAACTACTGTTAGCAAAGAGGTTATTAAATTTCTCAGTTACATAGAGAAATTCTAATGGATGATAAAGCAAGCAACAAAGTTCATCGCTGTTCTGGTGCTGTGTCACTGTGTGCTGGGAGTTACATCTCAGGAGGGCAGTTGACTTGATCAGTGGGAATCATTTTGTCGGTGTCAATCTTGTAGGACTGGAGAACACTCTTCAGGTTCTCCACGGTTTCTGGGTGCATTTCAGGAGCTCTTGACAAAATCCAGGCATAGTCCATGTGGAAGAGCCAGAGGATGTTAGTGCAGGAGTAAACCAGCGAGTAGTTTTCATAGTCAGTGGAGATGACCCAGTAAGGGGCAGCAGGCATGACTAGGAGAGAGAAGGGCACTGTGAATGCGATGTGTAACTGACTCTAGACAGCTCTGCAGCACTGCAGCCACAGTTTCTGGGGCTGTTTCCACTTTGTCTGCTCCTGAGTTGCAAAATTGTGGAGCTATAATTTGTAAAAGCCTACCAGGACTCCTTGATATGCCTAGACACACTCAGAAAGCCACAAAGCTCTGACAAGGAAGGTCTTCCTGGGAAGTTAACACTATGACCTGAACAGCTCACCTGAGCCACTGATGGCCAGCCCAGCTCACACGTGTGTGAGGGTGCTTGCTGGTGGGAAGGAGCTGCAGGGCTGGGAGCTGACACTTGTGATCTGCAGAGCACGAACAACCACCCACTGCCACAGGGAGCCCTGACTCATGGACCCCGCTGGAGCCTGGCAGTAGGAATCAGCATAGAATCATAGAATCGTAGAATCAACTGGGTTGGAAGAGACCTCAAAGATCATCAAGTTCAACCCTACCGTGGTTATTAGACTATGGCACTAAGTGCCACATCCAGTCTCATCTTGAAAACCTCCATGGATGGTGAATCCACCACCTCCCCGGGCAGCACA